GGGCTCCGGGCGTGACGCGGCAGCAGCGGCGGTTCCCCGCGCTTCTGAGGCTTTGCTCTGGCAAAGCCTCAGAAGCGCAGGAACCCGCCCGGTGCCCCTGGTCTGCTGGAGACGGTCTGCAGCAGACCAGGGGCACCGGAGCAGCTTATGAACGGGGCTTTCTCGCCCCAGAGCTCGCAGGTAGCAATCCGCCACCTCGACCTCCGGGGCGAGAAAGCCCCGTCCGTAAGTGTGGATCCGACATAAGTCGGATCCGCGTAAGTCGGGGACTGCCTGTATTAGGAGAAAGACAAATTATATTGCTTGAATGTTCCAAGTAGAATTGGTTCGAACTGGTCCTATAGCATGTTTTTGAAATATTCTCTCTTGCTTACATTGAATCATTTTGTGGATGCATATTGATTCTGCTAAAGTTTACTTCAGTAAAAATTCTGAGGTGCTTTAGGAGAGATCACTAATTTCTCTGCAAAGACACCAACTGCTGCACAAAAGCATTTACATTGTTAAAGCTTCTTGCAAAAGGGGTTAATGGACTTATGAACAATTCTACTTCAAACATAAAAAGAAAATCAATCCTGGACAGTTAACTACAAACTCAACTCTTTATCTAGCAGACAAGTAATCATCCCCATCTTCACAGTGTATCTCTTCCTAGCAGCCAAATGTGTACTATAGCTAAGCAAATGATTACATGAAAAGATGGAACCTAAGACTTTACTGCTTTGTGTCCTCTCTTAACAAACCACACTAACCCACAGCCTCTCACATCCATTTCCGTCTATCAGTATTCTAAACCTGTCAGAAAATTCTGATTAATCAGATACCACTGGGAAAAATCCTCTGCTACCATTCAGGAAGCTTAGCAGGAGGAAGACTGAACTTTAATGTCCTCACATTCCACATGAAGACAGTCCTCTTCACGCTCTACAAAGTGGCACTGCCTTGCCTCCTCCACCCTCATTACCATATGGACTGCAATTAAACAGCAAACTTGATATCTACTGTGTGGAACTCGGTTTACGAGCTTCCGTGGGAGACATTTTCAAAACAAATAGCACAGTTAGTGCCTAATGGATAGAGTACAATTTATGAGCTTCTTAATGTAGCATTTTCAAAAGACTGCATGAACAGATTGCACTGTTTACTATATGTACAATTTATCATATCATACTTTTTGACAGCCCTCTCTTCCTGTCTCTGCCTCACACCAGTAATGCCCTATTCATTAATTTGGGGCATACTTTGAATCAATTTTTTAAAAGGCTGTTTCAAAAGAGGCAGCTTCATGGCTGAGTATTGGCTATGTAGAAATCCTTCTGTTCCAAATGCCAGAAGACATAGAACCAATTGCTAGAAGACACAGAAGAAATATTTTCCCCTTCAATCCCTTAGTGAAACTTATCACACTTACATGGTTTTCTGCTTTCCTCTGAATCATCCAGCACTAGACAAGATTGGAAATAGATTGCATGAAAGCAATGGTTAAACATATAGCAATCCTTACAATATATTCTTATGTTCCTTTTATTATAGTGGTGATGAGTTTAAAACACTAGATGACATGCTAAAACAGAATAGATCTCAGTCAATCACATTGCAGAGTTGTACAGTTATTGATGCATAATGGTAGTATTTTCCTAATCAAGCAGTTTCCTGCACTCTGGTTCTGGGTGTCTGATTTGTGTAATTACTATACAATTATTTCCTTGTTGTTGTAGACTTGTACTCTGATTGGCTATTAATGACTGTCAGAATTCATGGATCTGCATAAACACAATGGCAAGATTTTCCGCAAATACTTTTAACGGAAAACTTTTCCGTTAAAAGCATTTGTGGAAAAGAGTGTCTAGATTGGCACGGACGCTTTTCTGCAAAAAGTGCTTTTGCAGAAAAGCGTCTGTGCCAATCTAGACGCAGTTTTAAGCAAGAAAGCCCTGATTGCCATTTTCGCGATCGGGGCTTTTTTGCGCAAAACAATACTGCTCTGTCTACGCTGGCCCTCTTGCGCAAAAGCATTTGCACAAGAGGGCTTTTGCCCGAACAGGAGCAGCATAGCATTTCCGCAAGAACACTGACAATCTTACACGAGATCGTCAGTGTTCTTGCAGAAATTCAAGCAGCCAGTATAGACAGCTGGCAAGTTTTCTGCAAAAGCACTTGCTTTTGCGGAAAAACTTGCCAGTCTAGACGCAGCCAATGGGTGGTTATTCTTCAACAACTGTATGATGAACATGCAAACCCCTCTTCTTTGACTGGTGGCAACAATTCCATGGCTATCATTGTTTACTTGGAATAGGCAAGTTATTTGACATTAGCAAATGCACAGTCTCAGCTTCTCAGTCCTATAAGCTGAAGCCAAATGATTTGAATGTGCACATTAGAGAGAAGAAAAAATGCAAGGAAAAAAGTAAGTGGTGCTGTGACCATGCAAAAGGGATTTAAAAATATGATTATCTCCTCCTTTCTTGTATTTCCCCTCCTCACACATAACCCTGCTGTTCATCCACCCCATTTTGATTTCTCTCCTTCACTTATACTCTGCCTAATATCTGCACTGCAAACCCTCCAGGGCAGTGTCCTAGGCTAATTATACGTTCTGTGATAGATCTAGTGCACACATTTGGACATGGTACAAACCATCATACTAGCAATATTATTGCCTCAATATTGGAGATATCCTCTCTCCAGGGAAAAAGATGAACATTTACAAACACAAGGTATTGATCCTGCAAGAAACTCTTTGTGTACATCTACACAGCAGGGCAAAAGTCAAAATAAGCTACGCAACTTCAGCTACGTGAATTGCATAACTGAAGTAGAAATAGCTTAATTCGGCTTTTGGCACTGTTTATGCAGCAGGAAGTTGAAGGAGGAACACTCTTCTTTCGACTTCCCTTACTCCTTGTGAAATGAGGTTACAGAACTCGGCGTTAGAAGCCTGTTATTTCGAAACTATTTCAAAATAATGGCTTGCTCTGTAAATGCAATCTTTGTTATTTCAAAATACTCCAAAATAATGCTGCTGTATGGCAGACCCACTTGCAGGACAGGGGAGTAAATATGGCTATCAATAGTCACTGTAACAGTGTCAAAGTAGACCCTCAGGCACCTGCACCCACAAATCAGCCAGACACCTCTTCTGTCTAACAATTACCTTGCTTTTTATTGAACGTGACAGTTCGCACCACCTTGTATACAGAGCTTCAAACTTGCAGCCTCAGGGAGTGCTAGTTTTTGCAGCTAGCAGGAAGGCACAGCTCTGGATTCTTGGACTCCTCCCTTTCCTCTCCGTATTCCCGTCCTTCCATTCTTATGTAGCCCCTGGTCAATGAAGCCAGCAGATACTTCTTATTGGCAATTAGGGGTTAGGCTGCCTCAGCCAGCTTCAATTAACCTTCTTCATTGGTGCTGGCATGACAAAGATCTGGTTTCTCAGACACCACCTGTCCCTGTCACAGTTATACTGTATTGCAACGAAGTCTGGGAGTATCCACTGTTTCTAAGGGTACAGGGTTGGCTCTCTCTAGTCTGGGAGGGTATTTCTACCCAGCAAAGTTATTTCGAAATAACAGCTGTTATTTCGAAATAACTTTACTAGCATCTACACAGCCAAACTGCTATTTCTAAATTAAATTGACATAGCAGAGCACTTATTTCAGATTTGGTAAACCTCATTCTACGAGGAATAATGCCAAATTCAAAATAGCTAGTTCAAAATAAGTGTTGTATAGACACTTATTTCAAAATACGGGGCCTCCAGCCTTCCCAGGTGTCTTGGTGGCCACACTCTCTCCCTCCCCTCCTCTGGAGCCCTTAAAAGGATAGACTCTGGCCACAGTGCCTGTGCCAGCTCCAAGCCTGCCAGCCGAGATCCAGCAGTCACTGCCCCAAACCAGTGGCCCCAAAACATGAGCCAGCAAATCCATTGGAAGCCAGCCCTCCACCACTCACCAGGAGCAGTCTGCCAGCTCCCAGGAGCCTGCCGGGGCCCAGAGAAGGTGGGTGCCTTCCTGGTCCAGGATGGAGATCATGGACCTTATTCAGGTTTGGGGGGGATGCCCCCAACGTCCATAATCTCTGCTCCAGATGAAGGAATGCAGCTGTCTATGGCAGGATAGCTTCCAGCCTGGCCACCAAAGGCCACATGTGAACCCAGGAGCATGTTCGCATGAAAATCAAGTTGGTCTGGCGAGATCCCCAACCCTGAGCCCTGAGCTTCCCATCTCCCTTCTTCTCCTTGCTTCCCCCTTCCAGCTCCCTCCTCCCAGGTTTTCCCCTCCCCTCTGCCAGCCTCTTTCCTCACCTCTCCTGCCTCCCTTCCCCAGTCTCACCAGAGTTTCATCCCTCCCCCCCGGTTTGTTAAATAAAGAGAGCTTATGTTTATGAAAATACATGTATTTTATTTGACATCAGGAAGGGGGGCTAGGGAAGGGTAAGTGGAAGGACGTGAGGGAGGAATGAGGCACAAGCCCCTAGTGGGGCAGACCAGGGAGGCTCTTAGTGCTCCTCAGAGTGGAAACTCTCCCGCAGGGCCTCCTGGATACTGACAGCCCCCCGATGGACCTCCCAGAAGGCAGCCTGCAGCAAGTGCAGCCAGGCTTGCAGCAATGTCTCCATGAGAAGCACCAGAGTGCCCATGGACAGCTCTGGCTCCATGCTGCAGAGTGCTGTGGTGTCCCGAGTGAGGGCAACCAGAGCATGCAGAGACAAAACTGCTTTGCTGCCCCTCATTGAGGTATACAAGCAAACAGGGAAACCTGAAAACCGGCTGGTGGGGGAGGGGCGAAGCCCAACTGAGTGCTGGCAGCTGGGGGCAGCAGACCCTGGCCGGGGATGGGGGCCAGTGGCCGAACACTGGGAGCGGAGCCTGGCTAGAAGTCAGGGACCAGGGGCAGTGGAGCCCATGTGGGATAGGTGGCAGAAAGTTGGTAATTGGGGCATCCAGAGCCCAACAGAGAGACAGCAGCTAGTGGTGAGGTTTGGGGACCTAGGCTGGAACTCAGCAGCTGGAGTGGGGTCTGGAGTCTGAAGGCCAGGGCAAAAGGGCTAGGGGCTGGCAGCTAAGAGCAGAACCCAGAGGCCCACAGCAGAGGGGCTGGCACTGACCACCCCTGGCCTGGCAAACTCCCTGGTTCAGGACTGGTGAGGTCCTGAGGTGCTGAAGCAGTGAGGTACAATCTGTTCCTAATACTTCCCACTATAGCATGTTTTTAGTTATTTATATCTTTATCAAATTAAAAATTGTTTGGGCTGAAATTTTCCATAACAGTCTGCCTCAGGCTGGAATGTTTTGGCAAACTTTCAACCATTTCTAAGGATGGGGCTGAATTAAAATATATTGTTTTGGCTCATGTAAAAAAAAATAATCTAGGGACCTTTTCTCTCAGGGTATGTCTACACTACCCTCCTAGTTCGAACTAGGAGGGTAATGTAGGCATACCACACTTGCAAATGAAGCTCGGGATTTGAATTTCCCGGACTTCATTTGCATAAGCGGGGAGCCGCCATTTTTAAATCCCCGCTGCTTCGAACCCCGTGTAGCGCGGCTACACGGGGATCGAACTAGGTAGGT